CGGTTTCCCTCCAAATCCCAAAGCTCCAATTCCTCACTGGGATCAACTGGGATCAACTGGTGCCGGTTTCCCGTAGCTGAGAAAGTCAAATTATCTTCTGCCGTGGAATTTCCTGGTCCAGCAGCTCCTTGATCCGGCTGGTGACGGTCACTGGACTGTTGTGGGCACAGAGGAAAGAGGGATGGATGGATGGGATCCATGGATGGATGGGATCCACTGATGGACTCCATTAGTGGATGGGATCCATGGATGGATGGGATCCACTGATGGAATCCACAGATGGAATCCATTAGTGGATGGGATCCATGGATGGATGGATGGAATCCACTGATGGAATCCATGGATGGATGGATGGAATCCACTGATTGAATCCATTAGTGGATGGGATCCATGGATGGATGGATGGAATCCATGGATGGATGGATGGAATCCTCTGATGGAATCCATGGATGGATGGATGGAATCCACTGATTGAATCCATTAGTGGATGGGATCCATGGATGGATGGATGGAATCCACTGATGGAATCCACTGGCAGAATCCATTAGTGGATGGGAGCCATGGATGGATGGATGGATGGATGGATCAATGGAATCCACTGATGGAATCCATGGATGGATGGATGGAATCCACTGATGGATCCATGGATGGATGGATGGAATCCACTGATGGGATCCATGGATGGGTGGATGGAATCCACTGATGGATCCATGGATGGGTGGATGGAATCCATGGATGGATGGATGAATCGATGGATGGAATCCACTGATGGGATCCATGGATGGATGGATGGAATCCATGGATGGATGGATAGATGGAGAGACACCCCTCGTTTGTCACTGTCCCCTCCGCTACACCCCGAGTAAGAGATGAGTAAACCCCACCCTGCAGTGGGGAGACCCTCAGCTCAGCCCTGAGGAGCGGGGCAGGACCCGGCACGCCTGCCCTGACCCAGCCCCACGTCACCGGCCCGGATCCAGCCCGGATCCAGCCCGGAGGTGACTCAGGCAGCTCCGGAGCGCCGGGATCCGCCGGGACCTGCCCGGGGATCCTCCTCCAGCGTCCTCCCTGCGCCTGGAGGAGAGAACCTCAACCCTTTGTACAGCTCCAACCCTCTCCAAAAATTCCCTAAAACCGGGGAAATCACCTCAAAGCCCCAGCCCAATCCCCAAGTGGGGCTTTGCTGGGATCCGACCCCACGACACGCCGCCGTGGCGGCGGCGGGGCGACAGCCCGGCGCCGTTGGGTCCCTCTTCTTCGGCAGCTCCCAAACTTGGATCCATTCCCATCCCTGCCTCCTCCTCCCGACCCAGGGAGAGGCGCGGGCAGGGAGGAGGCTCCGTCTCCTCCCCGGCGCGCCGGCGGGCAGCACCATGGCCGAGCGGCTGTCGGAGGAGAAGATCGCCGAGTTCAAGGAGGCGTTCTCCCTCTTCGACCGCGACGGCGACGGCCGCATCACCACCAAGGAGCTGGGCACCGTCATGCGCTCGCTGGGCCAGAACCCCAGCGAGGCCGAGCTGCGGGACATGGTGGGCGAGGTGGACGCCGACGGCAGCGGCGCCGTCGACTTCGCCGAGTTCCTGTCGCTGATGGCCAGGAAGACGAGGGACACGGACGGCGAGGAGGAGATCCGCGAGGCGTTCCGCGTCTTCGACAAGGACGGCAACGGCTACATCAGCGCCGCCGAGCTGCGGCACGTCATGACCAACCTGGGCGAGAAGCTGACGGACGACGAGGTGGACGAGATGATCAGGGAGGCCGACTGCAACGACGACGGCCAGGTCAACTACGAGGAGTTCGTGAGGATGATGACGGAGAAGTGACGGCCACCGCCGGCTCCGTCCCGCAGGTAACTCCCCTGGGGTGCAGCATCCATGGAAAATCCCCAAAATCCCCGGATCTTAGCTCCCCCCCCCGCCCTCCTCGTGTTGGTGGTTGGAAAAATCAATTTTTGTGGTGCTTTTTTTAAATTTTTTTTTAATTTTTCCTTTATTCTTTTTCCCCCATAGGAACAGAGGTTGTGGTGGTTCTCCCCCGGCCCCTCCATCCCCTCCCACCTTCTCCACGTTGGAAAAATCCTCTTTGATCCCAGTTGGAGCGTCGCCAACGGGCGTCCGCATCAGCTGTGGGATGCGGATGGATTTGGGGTCCCCATGGGATGTCTCGTGTCTGTAGCCATTCCAGAGGCCGCTGAAAATTCCCTGAATCCAATAAAAACGTCCCCCCACATCCTGGTGGCTGCTTCACTCAGCTTCCCCTTGGGATCCCTGCCGGAAAAGATTCCCTGAAATCACCGTGCTGGCGTTCAAACCCCTCCTCATCTCCATCCTCTTCCCATCCCGTTCCATCCCTCTTCCCAAAAAAGCTGGAAAGGTGCTGGGCACCGGGATGTGGCCTTCCCCATCCCTCATCTCATCACTTTTGGGATCTGGCTCCACCCCCAGGATCTCAGGGTTCCTTTTCCCTCTTCCAAGCTGGATTTATCCCTAATCCCCATCCCGAAGCTGAGCAGAGCGGGATTCGCCTTTCCTGGCCGTAATCCCGAACTCGCCGTGCCTCAGTTTCCCCACAGCGAGGCGGGAATCCTGGGATGGGATCATTCCACAGAGGAATGGGAAGGAAAATCTCATTAATGCTCCGTTGCTAACGAGCAAACGAGGCCGAGCTGCTCCGTGGGGAATTTGGGATCTGCCGGGAATTCTCCCCCGGCCCCAGCCCATCCCCCGCGCCGGGAATTTTGGCAATCCCAGTTGTTTTCCCGGGAAAACCGGGCGGGCCCTGGCAGAGCCCAGCGCGCCCACGCTCGCTCCCAGCACCTTCTCCCTCACTCTCCCAGGATGGGAGCGGGGCAAAATCCAGCCCCAAAATCCCTCAATCCGGCAAAATCCAGCCCCAAAATCCCAAAATCCAGCCCCAAAATCCCTAAATGCAGCAAAATCCAGCCCCAAAATCCCCAAATCCGGCAAAATCCAGCCCCAAAATCCCTAAATCCAGCCCCAAAATCCCTCAATCCGGCAAAATCCAGCCCCAAAATCCCTCAATCCCACAAAATCCAGCCCCAAAATCCCTAAATCCGGCAAAATCCAGCCCCAAAATCCCTCAATCCAGCCCAAAATCCCTAAATCTGGCAAAATCCAGCCCCTAAATCCTTAAATCCGGTAAAATCCAGCCCCAAAATCCCTAAATCCGGCAAAATCCAGCCCCAAAATCCCTAAATCCGGCAAAATCCAGCCCAAAATCCTTTAATCCAGCAAAATCCAGCCCCAAAATCCCTAAATCCAGCAAAATCCAGCCCAAAATCCCTCAATCCGGCAAAATCCAGCCCAAAATCCCTCAATCCATCAAAATCCAGCCCCAAAATCCCTAAATCCGGCAAAATCCAGCCCCAAAATCCCTCAATCCAGCCCCAAAATCCCTCAATCCGGCAAAATCCAGCCCCAAAATCCTTAAATCCAGCAAAATCCAGCCCAAAATCCCTCAATCCATCAAAATCCAGCCCCAAAATCCCTAAATCCAGCCCAAAATCCCTCAATCCGGCAAAATCCAGCCCCAAAATCCTTAAATCCAGCAAAATCCAGCCCCAAAATCCCTAAATCCGGCAAAATCCAGCCCCAAAATCCCTAAATCCGGCAAAATCCAGCCCCAAAATCCCTAAATCCGGCAAAATCCAGCCCCTAAATCCCTAAATCCGGCAAAATCCAGCCCCAAAATCCCTCAATCCATCAAAATCCAGCCCCAAAATCCCTCAATCTGGCAAAATCCAGCCCCAAAATCCCAAAATCCAGCCCCAAAATCCCTCAATCCGGCAAAATCCAGCCCCAAAATCCCAAAATCCAGCCCCAAAATCCCTCAATCCGGCAAAATCCAGCCCCAAAATCCCTCAATCTGACAAAATCCAGCCCCAAAATCCCTAAATCCGGCAAAATCCAGCC